CCACCCCTCACCCCCCTTCCCCCGGAGACGCGCCCGTTCCGCTGGCCCCGACAGCGGCTGCGGCCAAGACTCGGGGGTCTGGCCTGGCAGTGGCGCTCCTGATTGGAGACCGTTGGAGACACATCTCGTGTGGGAGTGGGGAGGGGCGGAGGGGCCCCCGCCCCCAGTGGCCTGCCCCTCTCTGATTGAACAAACCGCCTCGACCCGCTCATGCCCGCCTTAACCCCAAACCTCTACCCCACCTCAGCCCCACCTCAACCCCACCTCAGCCCCACCTCAGCCCCACCTCAACCCCACCTCAGCCGCACCTCACCCACGCTCAACCACCCACTCTAGCAGCCACTTAACCGCATTGAACGCCACAGCTGCTTGATCAATCTTCCGCCCTTCTCCCCGCCTTACCTGCGCTGCCCGGTCTCTGCCCCTAGCTGTCGTGCGTGGTCGCATGCTTCGCGGACGTTCATTGAGAGGGAATGCAAGAGTAGTAAGAAATCTAAGGGACGCTTTTTGCATGTGTCTCTTTGCCACAAAACTTCGTTTTTAGTATCCTGATAGAAATGAGAATTTTGTACTATCACGTCAATGTAATAAGTCAACTCAAGCAATCCTAATGAGTAAGTTAGGTTTTAACTCCTGCTCCGTCGATTTCGGCTCAAATCAGGATATTAAATAAACTAGGAAAATCGTTTTCCTTCGATGAGATCTTTCACATGTTTTGGAATATCCTTTTGCTCTGTTATCAATTTTGAATAAGTGACAAACATTTGCTAGAATATTTATACTTCCCATTGCAACAACAACAACAACAAAAATCGCAAGTGTTAGGCTGCCTCACATTTGGTCGAAAAGTGTGTATTAGCGTGTTGCAGGCATAGACGGTGTAACCGCTCCAAAATTCTGACTCTATGACTGTTCGGCGTGGTATGACTTAAGTTTCACGCGCCATTTTCGCGAGCTGCTGCTGCGTCAACGTTTTCAAGTGGCACATTTTAAAACGCTGGTGCCGTTTGGCTCGGTGCATGACTGTGTGCCGAGCCCCGCCGCAGCTCCCTCAGCGGGCAAAAGCTTCGTGATGAAGATCATAGGCCGCCGTTTTCGAAAATTGCCCCGTTGTTGAGGAAATTGCGTGTTATATGGAAATTGTTTTGGGTATATCCGAGCTTTGCTGAATAGAGTCGGCTCCCTTCCCTTCGTGCTCTCGAGTCGCGCTCCCGCCCTTCCTATAGTCGCGTTCGAGCACCTGCGTGTTCTTTCCCGAGTCGTTGATTAGCTATCTCGGCCGCCGTGGAATTATTTCGAAAACAACGTGACATTTGAAATCGATTTATATGGAAGTACGTTCGGAACAAGTGTTATGGCAATGTAGCGTGCAGATATTCGTCGGGCTGCCCCGATGACGGCGAAGAAGGCACCTCGCGGGCGTCGCGTCGCGCCAGCGCCGCCGCCTCGGTGTCGGCTCGAGTACAGTGGCGCTCCGCGCCGCGCAGCGCAGCGGCGTGGCATTGGGAGGCATAACTATAAAGCACAATAATAAGTAGTGGTTGCCACACGGACTGGCCTTGGCGGGGACCCTCGGGACGGAGCCGGGACGGAGCCAGCAGCGCCGCTCCTCGCAGCCTGCCGGCCTGCCCTGCCCGGCTCACCCGCGCCCGCCCGAATAATAGTAATAACATAATAAATGGCGTGCAAATGACGGTGGTGCGGAGCGCGAAAGTAGAACTAACGCGCAAAAACATACGTGTGAGTATTGCCGCGAAACATAAGGGCACTCGCTTGCGCCTACTCACTGGGGGAAACAAGGAGGTGTACATGGAGTCATATTGCCGTGCCGTGGATCCAGCCTGGTTAGCTATAGCTACCCTGAAAAATAAATGATTTACTTGACTCTTGTGTACAAATCTTAATAGTTTTCACTACTTGGTTCCATACAAGCTATGTGTTACGGTGAAATAATAACTAGAATATTCTTTTCAAGTCACCGCGTACGGTAGAGAGTTAACGAAGCAGAGAAAAGTAAAATAAAAATAAGAAGTCAAATGAGGACGGTTTTTATTCAAATAGCTCCCATCTGTCCCCTTTGAGTGCACGGTACGCGCGTTTGTTGCAGCAAGGTGTCATAGATTTAGATATAGGTAAGGGAGTTGTCCTTAGCTTCCTTTTTTATTTATTTTACATATGCCCCCTCACCTCTTCTTTTCCTTTCTCCTTCCGGCTGTACACCGATGCGTGTCATATATTTTTTCTCTTGGGTTTGATTGTATTGTATAGCGTCTTTCTCATACGAGCACTTGTTTTTTTTTACCTTTTTTTCATTCTCTGGTTTATTTGTGTGCCCCCACCTGTACCCCTTCCCCTTTCCCAGTTCGGTAATCCATTCTCATTCACGTCTTATTGTTGTTGTTATTAATTTGGAGTCATCTGATGAGATCCTACCGCTAAGCTCTCTGCTCCTGATCTAATAAAACTTGGGGAAGTACAGGAAGGATGAAGGCAGTTCTAATATTGCTCGTAATTACGTTTCTTTGGACAACGATGTTTTCTAAATCTCAAGGCCCACTTGTATCAAAAGAGCTAAGTAATCTCCCTGCTGCAACAATGAAGTTGGAATGTCCCATGTTACACTGTTAGAGCAACGTATTTTGATACTCAACACTAAATTCTAGCAGCTATAGTTTGGAATAACTTAATTATGCATAATTATGCCCAACTATCCCCACTGTGCACACATTTACGCAACCTTTGTTAATTCAAATTACTCATTGAAGTGTACATGGTATGTTTGAAATGAAGTGTACATGGCACGTATCCTATAGGCACAATGTGCAGTATTTGCACAGTGTACATCATCGGTATGTAATTAATGTGTACATGTCAATAAAGTGCACATTATTAGAAATATACTATGTTCACACTGGAATTTACAAATGGTCATTTACAATTTTGTGACAGCTGTTCATGCAATTTCGTGTTTAACTATGGCTGCTTATAAGTTTACACTAATAATGCAAATGCACAATGCACAAGAGGCGAAAAGACTTGTTCTGAACAGTTATTTTTTTTAACTATTGTTGCTGTTTTACTTTTGCTGCTAGGTTTTCACCGCTGTTTCTAGTTTCAGTTTTCTAGTTCTTGAGATCTATTTTTAAGACGCAATGTTTTAAAATTAAAATATTTGCACGAGTTGGGCATTTTGGGGTATACGTGCGGGATGCCTCAGGGATAAAACATAAAATCCCCCCCTATCGCAGGAATTTCTTCTTTTGCGCGTGTACCGGCAGAAGGGTTGCGGCTCCCTGAATGCCGTGCTGTTTGTGCCCCTCGTCGCGGCGTCGAGCGGTTTTTCCACTTTTACTTTTGCGCGCGCGTCTTTGCCTCCCCCTCTCCCCTTCCTGTTCCCTCCTCTGTGCGGGGCTAATCCACCCTGAGTGTGGAGTGACAATAATGAGGGGCTAATGACTATTGGGGGAGGGGAGGGGGGGGGCGTCATCGACAATGGAAGAAGGGACCGACCGGCGGCGGCGGCGGCGGCGGCGGCGGCGGCGGCGGCGCGTCTCGCGAGGCGCGGAGTGGCGTGGCGCAGCGCGGCGCCGCCTGTGCCGGTGCACCCATTCAGCCGTCGGCGGCCCGAAACATACGCCGCCCGCGCCTCCCGCTGACGCCGGTTAAAATAATGGAGATGCAAACGACGGTGGCGCGCGCGCCTTTCGAAAGGGAGGACATCGCAGCCGGCATAGCGCGGCCGCGCCGGGCCAGCCCGCCAGCCTTCATGCTCTGCTCCGCGCGCTTCGCCGAGAAAGGGACGCGGCCGCGCTGCTGCTGCTGCTGCTGCTGCTGCTGCTGCTGCTGCTGCTGCGGCTCGCGGTGGAAAATACAACGTAATTGAGCAATCAGAGTCATGTCGCTTGTGATGCGCTGCCTCGGCTCCTCCGCACGCCCTAGGACAAAGTCATGAGCCTTTTAGTGTGCACGCTGCCAAAGGCTCCGTCGCGCGAACACTATACGCTACTTGCGCCCAGCCCAGCCAGAACAAGTAGGCAAAAAAATTCCGCCGCAGCACACCTGAGAGCAGCGGGTAGTTTTGACGCCTGCCTACTAGGCAGCCCGCAGCGCACCCTTGTGCTCCGTTGGTTTCTTACTGCCTCAGTGTCTGGCGAGCAATTCTCCCGCCGGGCGGCCGGAAG